CATGAGACAAGTGCTCGGGCCTGGTGCACTGGGAAGACCCAGAGGGATCGGGTGGAGAGGGAGGTGGGAGGGGGGACTGGGATGGGGAATACATGTAAATCCATGGCTAATTCATATCAATGTATAACAAAAACTACTGTAATGATGTAAAGTAATTAGCCTCCAACTAATAAAAATTTAAAAAAAAAAAAAAAAAAAAAGGAGTCTGAGGGCCAGTGAGATGCCAAAGGAAGCATCCAAAAGGCACAGATTGATATAAAGACCAGTTCAGGAGCAAATCTTGGTTGAATAAAGAAATTTAAATGTTTCAACACGTAAGAGTCAGCCGAATCGATGAGCCTGCCCAGGGAAGAACAAAAACAGCATGGATCACAGAGATGTGGCACACAGCCTTCCTACCCATGCAGATCTCAGCATTCCTCCCCACTGAACCCAGACGCCACTTTAGAATCCTTCCAAACACAGGACTTCCAGCGAGCCTCCAGTCCTATAAAAGTATAACCTATTTGTCATCCCTCATGTAAGAAGGCTGAGAAACATAAACATTAAAGGAGTAACTGAATATAGAGAAACTAATGAAAATAAGTCTGAACTGGTAAAAGAATAAGGAGGAAATCAAGACAAGAGTTATGGAAATGAAGACAGAAAGGAAACAGAAGCTAACAAGTGCCTAACATAAGGCAGGCATTATTTAAGAGAAAGCTTGTTTAATCCTTATAACAAATTTATAGAGTTTTTAGTATTGCCCATGTTTCATAATTAAGGAAACAAACTCAGAAAGGGTTAGGTAATTTTCCCACAAATGTAAATTAAAGGAAGTTTAAACCTAAGACCGTGTGTTCTATTAGTAATTCATGACAGTACTGCCTTTCACAGATAAAACTGACAGAATAGTGGCTAACTTTCCCTCCAGCAAGGCACTAAAGACCACAAAAGCTCCTTTACTTGACCTCTGAGGACTTAACTGGGCTCAGGAAATGAAAGACTTAATTTTATATAAATATTAACTAATGTTAGAAGCCTTAATTCCAAACTTCTCCCCTGAAAAACTCAGATACTGGTTAAAATTATTTTAAGCGATTAAAAAAAAAAAACTTACCAAAAAAGGGGGGTGGGGGGAAATAATCCTGATTTGTGACAGTTGCAGTTCATATTATTGAAAGTTCACATGCAAGGAATAGTCTATTACTTCAAGGAACATAAAAACATAAAGCACAATAGGGTGAAATTTCTTTTAGGATGACCTAAATAGGTTTATAATAATTTAGCTAATAAAGGTACACCACGTTTACATACCTAAAGCTATCATGAAAGGAGGATACAGTAGGCAAAGATCCGTTCTGTAGGTATCATTCACTATCCTCCTATAGAAATGTAAATCATAATATTACTGAAAGCAGAACTACTTCATATAATTGTACATTTCCCTCCAGAGAGGGCCAGATTATCCCTATCTGTATATATTTATATCTCTCTTATATTTTTTAACAGACATAAAGGTGAAAACATCAAAGGAAAAAGATGGATACATGAATGTCACAATAAGCCGATTTATTGAATAAAATTACAGCTAAATATATATAAAATTTTAAAACTTCACAATAAATTTTAATATAAGATAGAAGTTTTTTCTAAAATTAGAAAATCAGTTAGGAAACTAGAAATTATACAAAATATTAATATGTATGTTGAATACCACCCAAAATATTCTGACTAAAGATAACATTTTAAAATTTATTTTACTGAAGTGTAGTTGAAATCAGTGTTCATTTCTGCTGTTCAGCACAGTGATTCAGTTATACATTCCATTACTGTTTAAAGATAAAATCTTAATTTTCATGTAAACAGTCTGTTTTTCTTAAGAATCAAATTTTAATGGAAATATCCATCAAATAAATAAAGATCTTTATCATTTTAGCATTTATTTCAATATAGTTATTAAAATTCAATAAGCAGATATATCACTCAACATAACATATCTTGGGGCACTGTTTACTTACTTAAAAATGCTAAACTTCATATGTAATTGTCAACCTCCCTAGCTATTAACATGTTACACTATGAATAACTTCTGTTCTAATTACCATGCAAGGGGAAGCAACATGTCTTCTTGGCCCATGTCCTGCACATACTGGAGCAAAGGTCTATAAGGATGATACACTATCAAGCAACAATCCTAGAAACAGTTTAAAAAATGTGCATGTATAAAAACAGATTTATTATAGCACAAAAACCTTATCAATACCCAACTGGTTTTTAATTGTGTATTTCAAAATGTATTTTTTCCTAACTCATGCTTGCTTCCCTTCCCTCTTATTCTCTTAAGCAAGCAGCATGGCAGCCCTAAACTCTACTGTAACAGTGAAGGCAGTGCTCTCTCTGGAATATACCTTGGTAAATCGGTTGGCAGTCAGTCAGCATCCATTCCCTTAGAGACTCAAAGTGTCACATCTGCAACACACTGAAACCTCTTATTAGCCTATAAATCCGTAATTCCCAACTGGTGGAGCAGAATTCTGCCAAAGACATAATCTATCTTTAAATAATCCCACACATATACACAAACTGTGCAAATAATTTACAGTGGTTTACTGTCCTGACTGGTTTGATTGTAATCCTATTATAGTTACTATAGAACAGAAAACACTTCCCATCCTAAGTAAGATATGCAATTTTACAGGCTTCCAAGAGCATACAGGTGATGATGCCTCTAGGAACTATGGTTTACCATCACATATTACTCAGATGGTTTTAAAATGCACCTCCCTACAATTATTTCTTTAAATTTATGACTTCACTAAATTTGAAAGTAAGTTTTACTCTCTTAATCATAAGGAAGAAATATACTTACCATTAATTCTAAAAGATAGAATTCACATTCTAATACCTGTTTTAAAAAGATTATAAATGTCAACATGAAAGCAAATTAAATTGAGTCTACTTAGTCTAATATAAGAATGTATAGCTATTTATCAAAAGTTTTTACTAAAATGTTTTTAAATCAAGAAAACAATAGCTTATGTCAGAATGAACATATGGTATAAAAAATTACTTTTTACACAATGCATGCAACTGTGATTATGAGACATTTTAATTCTTTTAAGGAAAAGCCAGTCTCATATAAGCATTCTTATTACTTGTTTTTATTTAAAATATCCTGTATAAACTTCAGATTTTACAATACACTTTCCACTCAACAAATGCAAAAATGCAATTATCTCCACTTAAGTATCATTCTTGTTACAAATCAATAATAGGAGAGTACTAAAAATGAAACAAAAATACAATTTAAAAAGAGAAGAAAAAAAAAAAACCCTTGCAAGATGGAAAAAGAATATGTCTATTAAAACAGTAACAGAAATTCATCTTTTCCAGAGAGCCCCTGACATCAGTATTATTAAAAAAGCTCCCAATGTGATTTAATGGGCACCCAGGGTTAATAACCACAGCTATACATTATTTTGTTTATGGTAGAATCTGGTTAGCTTTAATTTAGAAATAAAGTCCACATTCTCATACAATGTTAAATTGCCATTTCTAGGAGACTATTCATTTTAATATAAAATGGAGGTATAGTTTATATACACAGCTTTGAGAAATAGTTTTATTTTATACAATATACTTACATGGTTCATCTTATAAGGAAATTCCTTTGGAAAGGCATATGAAAATCTAGTTTTCACTGAAAAAAACAAACAAAAAAATTTAACCTGAGAAAATGGGGAGTTCATTAACACAAAACTTCTTTAATACAGTGTAAAATATTGGTGGTAGAGCTAAATCATTTTTAGTAAGAACTCTTGAGGATGCTTAGAGATGCAGATTTTTCCTCCTTTCTCAGGCAATGGGAAAGACTGAGTGGCAGAAAGCTCTAGGACCCCATCCGAAATAGAATCAGAGTTTCAATGATATATTTAATATATTAAGGCAGGATTCTGCTGCTTAAAAAATAAAGGAAATGGAAAAAAATCAATGGCTTTTATCATTTCTAAAATCTTTTCAGCTCTAGAATGGTATTGCTCTATTCTTTAGTAATTTAGCTTAAAAGAAACACGGGTTGTATATGTGTTCACAAGTATCTATATATTTGTAAATATATACAGTTGACCCTGGGCTTCCCTGGTGGTTCAGACGGTAAAGAATCTGCCTGCAATGTGGGAGACGTGGGTTTAATCCCTGGGTTGGGAAGATCCCCTGGAGGAGGGCCATGGAGAATNGTATCTATATATTTGTAAATATATACAGTTGACCCTGGGCTTCCCTGGTGGTTCAGACGGTAAAGAATCTGCCTGCAATGTGGGAGACGTGGGTTTAATCCCTGGGTTGGGAAGATCCCCTGGAGGAGGGCCCTGGAGAATCCCCACGGACAGAGGAGCCTGGCGGGCTACAGTCCGTGGGGTCACAAAGAGTCGGACACAACTGAGCGACTAAGCACAGCGCAGCTGATCCTTGAACGACACAGATGTGAACTGCGTCTACACACCCATGGGTTTTCCCAGTAAGTAAGTACTGTATGAGCCAAGGTGCTATGTGCAGATTTCTCAACTTAGCAGAGCTGGTGTCCCTATCCCCTGTGTCATTCAAGGTCAACTGTAAATATAAATATTAGAAGAACAATGCAGCCAAAAAAATGTTAACAGTGGTTATCTCTGAGATTCAAGGATTTTTACTGACCTGAACATTCTAAACGTTTTATAATATGTATATTTTTAATCAAATGATACATTTTAATAAAATCATGAATATACATGCAAAGGTCTCTAGGACTTTCTTCAAAACCACACACACATACACAGTTACTACTTAGTCACCAAAAAAGTACAGATTAAAAAAAAAAAAGTACAAATGAAAACACTGTTAATCCTCTATCTCCTCAAAAATGGTAGGAATTGAGTATTCTAACAGCTAATTTAGATAGGTAACATCTGTCAAGATTTGAAATCTTAAGCCATTTAAACTTGACATTAGGAATTATCTACCTAACCTTCCCTTTCCTCTCCTTTTAGTTATTAATAATTTAAAAATTATCACCTATTAAAGTTTCTAAGATTTTAAAATCCCTCTCTGCTTTTGTTTTTAAACGAATTTTTTGGCCAGGCTGCATGCCATGTGGAATCTTACTTCCCTGACCAGGGACTGAACCTGGGCCCCAGCGGTGAAAGCTCCGAGTCCTAACCACTGATCCTCCGGGAAACTCCTGGTGGCTTTTGAATTGTGATAAAATATACATTACATATAATTTACCATCTTTATGGGCTTCCCCAGTGGCACTAGCCGTAAAGAACCTGCCTCCCAGGACCAGAGACATAAGAGACAAGGGTTCAATCCCTGGGTTGGGAAGATCCCCTGGAGAAGGACATGGCAACCCACTCCAGTATTCTTGCCTAGAGAATCCCACGGACAGAGAAGCCTGACGGGCTATGGTCTACAGAGTCACAAAGAGTTGGACATGACTGAGTGTACGCACGCACGTATACTTCATCTCCAAAACTCTTTCTCCTGCAAAACTGAAACCCTGTATTCATTAGATAACAATGCCCCCTTTTTCTCCCTCCCTCCAGTCCCTGGCAGCCACTATTCTACTTTCCATCTCTGTTAATTTGATTACTATAATTACCTCATGTAAGTGGAATCACACAGATTTACCTTTTCCTGACTGGCTTATTTCACCTATCATAGTATCCTCAAGGTTCATCCATGCCGTATCACATGAAAAACTTCAAAATTTGTCCATCGACTTACACTCAAGCTCTCCTCCAATTCATCTTACATAATTCTGCCAGAATCACTTCCCAACACACAATTCTGGAATCACTCTCATGTTGAAAAGACAGCAATGAGAGGTACCATCACTGACAACAGAACAAGCTACAGATTCCTCAACGAAGGCCATCTATTATCTGGCCTTAGTCAGGTAGTGCTATTTTCCCACTATTTCTTTACTCACTATTCACCGAATGTAACTCATTAGCTTTTCCATATATTTATTAACTGAACTGTTCAATGTTCCTAGATTGTCTTTCCCCTGTATTTCCTTGGGTACAAATTCTTTATCAAATTCTATTTAAGTCTTTTTGGATTAATCTAACAAGTCATCTTTTCCCATGTAAAACATTCACTGCATCCTCTGTTACTCTTTTATGCCACTTATTTTCTTCTGTATTAGTATTTCTATATTGATGTCTTATTTTCTTGTCCTTAAATTCTTTGTACTTATTTTTCTATCTACCACTGCATTCAGTATGGTGTTTTCCAGTGATAATTGATGCTGCTGTTGATGAACATGATGACAGTCACAAGTTTACTGAGTATTGTGGGGTGAATAATGTCCCTCCCCCCAAATTTACATTCTGAAGCCCTAACCCTCAATCTGACTATATTCTGAGACAGGGCATTTAAAGAGGCAATTAAGGTTAAATGAGGTCATAGGCATGGGGCCTTAATTCTGTAGGAGAGGTATCCTTACAAAGGAAGAAACACTAGGGATGCACACACAGAGAAAGGGGCATGTGAGGACACTGCAATAACGTAGGCATCTGCTAGCCAGGACAGGCCTCAACAGAAACTGACTTGTTGACACCCTAATCTTGGATTTCTAGCTTCCAAAATCCTGGGAAAATAAATTTCTGCTGTTTAAACCATGTAGGCTCTGGCATTTTGGTATGGCTACCCTAGCAAACTACTAATAACACATTGAGCAAAGCATGGTCCTAAAAGATTTATTGATATTCACTTATTTGATCCTCTCAACAACCCTATGACATAGATGTTATTAATATACTCATATAACAGAGAGGTTATATTTTGCTTAATTTGCATGTCAAAAGCACTGAAGTTGAAATCTGAAACCTAAGCTGTCTGGGCCATATAATACACTGTAAAATTTATGACATAAATAAAATAGCGTAAGTGCCCCATTCATTGGTAAAACACTCTTATGAGTATGCTTTTAAGCCTTTGCAAGTCAAATTAAAAAAACAACCTTGGACATAGGTATTTTACATTTTTTAAAATATACACCTTCTAAAAAATCTGGATAACAGAGACTAAAGAAAGAAGAAATTAAGGCACCTATAATCTACTCAGATATGAGCATTGCTAATATTCTGGTAGATTTCCTTGCAGTCATTTTTCAATTTTTTAATAATACTGATTTTCTAGATGACAATTTAATACTTCATCAGTGGGATACATTTGGTATATTAAGTTCTATGGCAACACTGATTATTACTCTTCTATCCTCAAAATAAGACATGACATGAAAAAGATTCAATTATATTAATACATTCTTTTCAGAAAGGGGAATGACCCCAAAATATGAAACCTTGGCTCAGAAACTTAAAACACCTTCTGCCTCTTCTGTGTAAGATCACAGGAGGAAAAAAAAAATTAATTATCTTTTGTTAGGCAATATCTTTTGGCTTAACCTAGGGAGATGGAGCACAAGATAATATTGGTATTACCTTATGTACAGTACTTTACAGTGTTGTTTCCTTTAATTCCATCACTCACAGGTAGATAAACCCCATCTTTTTAGATAAAAAACTAAGTCCAAAAGGTAGAGCAACTTGCTCAAGGGTACACAGCTGCTGCTTAGACCCAAACTGGTGCTTAGAATCAGCTCTAGGACTAGGGAGTCAGCATATTTTCCTGCACCATACTTTTCCATGTGGAGGAAAAACACATCATCTCCATCAAAGACATAATTACAATTGCTAAAAAAATAAGTTTATTTCACCCACAAGAGTAACACAATAGCTAGTCATTATGGAGCAATAAAGTATAATAAAATTGAAAAATAAAAATTTCCTTTACCCTATTTATAAAATTAAGAGCCATAGAACTGATGTTTTTAGATCAATAGTAACTATCCATTTTTAGTATTCAAAGTAATAACCTCACCTCAAGAGATTTAATAGACCCAACTAATCTCTCATAGCTCTTATAAACTGCAAAACATCTCTGTCCTATGGAGCGTTCTTCAGAATTACAATTTTAAAGCAGGATTTAATTTTTGCACTTACATACAGAAGTAGCAGCAGCAATCAATCTTGTATTTGAGACTACTCCAAATTCCTAGACAAAAGTAAATGAGACTAAATAAGTACATAGTAACCCAATGAACCTAAGTATATCTGAAGTCTATTAAAACAGAGTATTTCCTATGTTTCTCTGATGTTTGCAAAGGAATGATGTACTTAAGTATCTAAATTTATGGCCTTTCTTTAAAATTACTTTAAACACAAATGCTTAAATAATTTTATAATTTATTATTACTGGAAGGTACCAAAGTAGATAGCATGGTTGGTAAATCATCTGCCTGCAATGCAGGAGACCTGGGTTCGATTCCTGGGTCGGGAAGATGTCCTAGAGAAGGAAATGGCAACCCACTCCAGTATTCTTGCCTGGAGAATCCCACGGACAGAGAAGACTGACAGGCTACAGTCCACAGGATCGCAAGAGGCAGACATAACTTAGCAACTAAACCACCACCACCACCAAAGTAGAAACCAAGCCCTAAAGTGATAGTGCCAGATTTCTGTACTCAAATTCATTTCCATGGCATGGCGTTAAGACTTTGGACATCAGTTCCTATTTCTTCTTTGAACTTAATATGTCACTGTTATAGAAATAACTAAAAAGTATGAGGTGATCCACCTTACATAGTCTTAATTAATTTGTAGCTAACCTTATAAAGTCAAAAGCTTGTTTTCTTTTTTTTTTTTTCCTGGCTGCACCATACAGCCTGCAGGATCTTAGTTCCCTGACCAGGGATCCAACCCAAGCCCTTGGCAGTGACAGTACGGAGTCCAAACCACTGGACCACCAGGGATTTCCCCAAAGCTTCATTTTAAAACTGAAAAATCAAGACTTGGTTCCTTAGTCAAAAAAAGAAACTACTAGAGCCTGTCCAAAAACCTTCAACCTCCATCCTTATCTAATAGTGTGTTTGAACCCATGTATGCCTGTAGTATATATTTCATATAAACCTCAAGCCATATCTAATAGTGTGTTTGAACCCATGTATGCCTGTAGTATATATTTCATATAAACCTCAAGCCATAATAAATGAAACTGAAATTTAAATGCCTGAGACATTTTCTTAAATGACATTTCAATATAGTTCTCACACAACTGAAAAAAACACAGAAAGATTTGGTCAAAGTTAAAAGATTTTTTTTAAATGCTATAACCAAATATGAAAGAATACATCATCTTCCAGGATAATTCTACACAAAATTCTTCAAGCAAAAACTTTCACTTAGTAAATTGTAAGAGTTCTATTCAGTAAATCATGTAACAAAAGAGATCTAACAAAGAAGACAAATTAAAACTCTAAGTTAATCTACAAGAAGTTTATAAAGATTTTTGTCTTGGTTTCCCATACTGGTTGTCCTTCGGATACATACAATTATATGGTAATATTTGGAAAAGCCACCCCATAACACAGGCCTTTTATAAACACCTTCTTTTCCATTAAAGAACTTAAAAACAGAGTTGGTTCTACCTCCTTAAATTACCACTTACAATTAAATTCCATTCAGTATTCAGAAATACAATTACTATTCTAAACACAGCATCTAAAAATAGAAACATAATATAAAAGATTCATATTACTAAAGATTACAATGGATTATTATAAAGACCAGTTAATTATATCTGCTTTACTATCTGGATTTTAGCTGAGCTCTCTCAGAAATACTGTAAAGGTTAAGTAAGGTGAACAGAGATTAGGTCTCAGCTGAAAGTTTCCATCTCTCTTCTCTTGCCCTCACCCAAACCATTCTTCGTTAGAAAGCACGTAACAGCTGTAACCACCCCAATGCTTGCTTTCCCTACAGCCCACTAGGCAGCCCGATCATCAGGAGGCAAGAAGGGAAGACAGCAGAACACAGGAAGCACAGAGAGGAAACGGAAGAACATTCTCAGGCTACAGCAGATAAGCTGTAGCATTTATGGAATACACCTTAGTGCCAAACAATAAATGTCTTAGAGGCAGAAGATATTTCTTTGATCCTATACAAATTTCAATATTTTACATAAATCACCATCTGTTATTATTTTTACACAGGTAATATGAAAACTGGGACGGATTAAGCAATATACGTTGACTGTACTTTGATGAAGAAAAGTATTTCATACCTCTACTTTGGATGCCAAAAACACACATGTAGGAGCCATTAATACAGGATCTATACTTTTCAGAGAATACCTAAAATATGATTAAATGAAGTTAAAGATCATTCATACAAAAAACATACACGAAAACATTTCATATTGAAAATATTTATATGGGAAAAAAAGAACAACTCTGGCAAACACATGATTCACTTATATAAGGTCATCAACATTAGATAAGGGTTTAAAACATACATAAAAATATTTCCAAAATAACACATCCCTACCTTGCATAGAATCTCTTGAAATAGACCGTAGCAGTGGCAATAACTTGTTGTCTTAATTTAAGATGTTCACCTAATGCTTGGATAACTAAAAGAGAATAAAGTTAAATGTATTTCTGATATAGTTAACATTTAACAATAATTTCTATGCGGTTAAATGATGACTATATTGATTTTAACAAAGAGAAAAACCTATACATGTTGTACAGTTCTACTTGGATCACAGTGATCTAGTACTAGGGCTGCAAATTTGTTTAAAAATATATAGCTACACATAAACAATAACAAAAAAACAGAAATTGTCTCACAGTAAAAACTATTCTTGAATCAAGGAGATTGAATGATTATTTCCCTTCTACCTGCTAAGTGTTTTCAATGTTTTTCATATTATTAGACACCTATCAGCATTATAACTACATAATAAAGTTTATAAAAAACCCAGAATGAATCCTCAAAACTACAGAGAGGTAGTTTTGCAATAAGAGTGGACAGAGTGTAATAAAGATTCTGTAACAAAGCTATCATGCGGCAGAACAAGGATCTTCTAACTCTAAATCCTAAAGCAAACTTGTAAAATAGGAATGACCAATACAGGATGCCAATCCAAATAATTATTTATCCTCAAAGTACTTTGCTTTAGCTATCTTAAATTAAGTTTAATGATACATTATAAAAGCTTTGGGAAATTAATACTTTTGGACTGTCTTGAGTGTCTCTGACATGTAAGAGTCACAGAAGACTTTAACTCACTTTTTTTTTCTTAGTCCTACGTAAAATAAGTCTTTATTTTTTTTTTCCATTTATTTTTATTAGTTGGAGGCTAATTACTTTACATCATTACAGTAGTTTTTGTCATACATTGAAATGAATTAGCCATGGATTTACATGGATTCCCCATCCCAGTCCCCCCTCCCACCTCCCTCTCCACCCGATCCCTCTGGGTCTTCCCAGTGCACCAGGCCCTAGCACTTAAAATGATATATAAATTGTAAAAAAGTACATGCAAATAAAAATGTAAAATAGGGACTAAAACAGTACATCACAAATTATTACAGAAAAACATTTAATTCAGAGGTAACCAACTGCACTATTTCAACCAATTAAAAGAAAAGTTTACCATTTGTAAAAAATATCTGTAATTTCCAATACTCTTCTTCTGAGAGAAACTTTAAATCCTTTTGGCGTTCCTTCAACAGATCTTGTTTATCCAAAATCCATTGTAAACTAAAAAAGGCAAAGATTGACATTCTACAGAAAATTCACTCACAAAGTTATATAAAATATTCTAAGATTGAGCAGGCAGCTAATATTGTGAGAAGTACAGAATACAAGTAACCTTTAAAAACAATATTTTTCACATTTCTTGGAACATTGACACTAAGAATGGCCTCACTAATAAATGTATATATGCCCTAAAAAAAATCTGCTCTTTTATCCCTTCCTTCTCAGTCTATTGATCTGTCTCTCCCCACCCCTACATCACCATTCTGGTGCGTTTCATTGATTCTAAGACTGAAATCAAGAGGCATCTTCAGTGGTGCCGGGCATTTTTAATAGGCAGTAATATTTACACTTTTAGTGACAAATAAAGAAATTATTTGATACCATTTGATGGTGCCTAAGATTTGAAGTATATCTTTTCTCAGTTGTTCATAAGTAACTAGAGTATACTACTTCACAAATTCATGTTAAAAGCTGCTTCAGAATTTATTTTACCAATAGTCTCCTCCTCCTGCCTACACTATTTTTAAATAGACAGGCAATTGTCATGATCCCACAAAATACTCCACAACATGCTTTTGTCACTCAGTATGTCTTGAAAGTTTTATGTCAGTGAATTTGTCATTTAGCATCCCTTTAAATTGCTGCATGTCATTATGATAGATCATTATTTAGTTAATCCTTACTGCTAGGCATATAAGTTATTTTTTTCACTGTTACAAGTAAGGCTTTAATGAACATCTGTAATTCACCCTTGTATATTTGATTAATATATGGAATAATTTCTTAAAAGTAGAACTAATGGGGCAGTTCTGCTGGTAATTATGATATGCATTGTCAGCTTGCCTCCCATAGCAGTATCCATTCACATAAGTGACATGAGTGTGTCGTAACATACTTGACCCAACAGGTTACCACCTATCTTTTAAATAATTTACAACTTTAAGGCAAGTTAGCATTTCACTATTTAAATTTACTTCTAAGGTAAAACACTCTTCCATGCCTTTATTGATCTAATACAGTTCTTTGCACACTGTAATTCTAACATGACCATTTTTCTAATAGGATGGTCATCTTTTTTATGATTCAGATAGTCTTATGATCTAAAATTTATATATTATGGATTAAAAAATCATTTCTTTGTCAAATATGCTCTAGACATTCCCCAAGTTTAGCATGATTTCTCAATATTTAATGATTTGTGATACAGAAATCTGAATCATATATTTATTCAAATTTATTTACATTTAACTTTGATTTTATGTTTGTCACACATGGGAAGAAGGCCTTCCCTGACACAAAATGACTTATAAAAAAATTTCCAGTTCAGTTCACTCAGTCGTGTCCGATTCTTTACCGCAGAATGCCAGGCCTCCCTGTCCATCACTAACTCCCAGAGTTTACCCAAACTCGTGTTCATTGAGTCGGTGACGCCATCTAACCATCTCATCCTCTGTCGCCCTCTTCTCCTCCCGCCCTCAATCTTTCCCAGGATCAGGGTCTTTTCAAATGAATCAGCTCTTTGCATCAGGTGGCCAAAGTATTGGAGTTTCAACTTCAACATTATTTCCACATATTTTCTAATACCCCTAAGGCTTTTTTCTTTCAGTTTTTGTGATCCATCTGGAAACTGACACAGGGTATATAAAGTAAGGATCCAGCTAAATGTTTTGTTAAATGGTTATTCAAATGTCATCAGAATTTCACGGCGTGTAATTCTATCATTATATTTGGATCTTCTTTATAATTTCTTATTTTTAATTTGTTTTTCTTGTTCCTACGCCAAGCTATTTTAAAATATATTGTGCTTAGCCATTCAGTCATTTCTGACTCTTTGCAATCCATGAACTTTAGCCTGCTAGGCTCCTCTGTCCATGGGATCTTTCAGGGGAGAATACTGGAGTGGGATGCCATTTCCTCCTCCAGAGGATCTTCCCAACACAGGGATTGAACCCACATCTCCTGTCTCCTGCATTGCTGGTGGATTCTCTACCCTCTGAGTCACAGGGAAAGTCATGTTATTTTAAAACACATATGCTCAGTTGTTCAGTCATGTCTGACCCCTTGCAACCCCATGGGCTGTGTAGCCCACCAGGCTCCCCTGCCCATGGGGCTCTCCAGGCAAGAATAATGGAGTGGGTTATCAGTCCCTTCTCCAAATTTAAAACATACAAAATCAAGTAATAAAAATCTGGTATGAAAAAAACTTCTTGCTACTATTCTTCAGAAGATTTCTGGCAGTTCTATAATTATGTATTATTCTAAAACACAAACTTTAGAATAATTTTATCACGTCCCCAAAAAGGAAATTCACACAAAATTTTGTTTGGGATTGCATTATATTTAAAGGTCAATTAGGGAGAAATTATACCCTTACAATTCTAGCACTCAACTTCATTTATTAAAATCTTTATGTTCTCCACAGAATATAAACATTTTTCTTCTATAGGTCTTACACATTTAAACTTATTCTTGAGTATTTTATATTTTGTTACACTGTAAATTATTTTTTTCCATCAACATTAAAAGAACATTTTCAAGTTTTAAATTTTCTAACTGGTCATTTTATCAAACCTTTATTATTTCTAATAATGCTTCAATTAACTGAATTTTCTGGTTAATTTTATCTCCTTGTATTTATAATTTTGTCATGTTTCATTATCCTACTAATTGGGCTTCCCTAGAGGCTCAGGGGTAAAGAATCCACCTGCAATGCAGAACACGCAGGAGACCCAGGTTCCATCCCTGAGTGGGGGAAGATCCCCTGGAGAAGGGCATGGCAACCCAGTCCAGTATTCTTGGAGAATGAATGAACTGTCCATGGATAGTCCCATGGACAGAGGAGCTTGGCAGGCATCAGTCTACGGGGTCACAGATAGACAGGACTGAAGCACAAGCATGAGCATCCTACTAACTACATTAATAGTAGCATATTCAGGACCACCTGAAAGAGGCATCCTAACTTTCCTAATGTTTCACCATTAAACATCCCCTAATGTTTCACCATTAATGCTCTGATATGTATTCATGACGCAACCATCCTATTTCTGTTTTAGTAAGAGCTTTAGTCAAGAATGAACATTGAAAAAAAAAAAAAGAATGAATTTTATCAGGTGTCTTTTTAATGGCTTCACTGTTTACTAACAGATTTCCAAAACTGACTAATTTCTACAATAAAATCAGCGTCATTTTTTATACTTTTAATGTAATGTGGGACTCTGTTTGGTAGTAATTTATATTTACATCAATATTCAAAAGTGACCATCGTTAGTGCTACACTTGCTAGATTTCTATCTGTTACCACGGCCTCCAGAGAGCTGGAAACCTTTTCCTGTGAGTCGGAACAACTTTAATGGCAGATCCTCTTGGAAGTGGGTAAAAATGAACCTATGAAATAATGTGGGCCTGGAGCAATTTTTAAAGTAGCTCTCTGATAACTCTGTTTTGACTTTAAAATTTACTTTGAAAATGGAGTTAACCCAAAGGTACATCTGTGATTCCTTACTTTTCTCATCCCTAATTGCGTATTTCTCTATCACCAACTGGATGGACATGAGTTTGAGCAAGCTCCAGGAGTTGGTGATGAACAGGGAACCCTAGCTGTGCTACAGTCCATGGGGTCACAGAATCGGACACGACTGAGCCACTGAACTGATCGTTCCTTTTCCCCGATACTCAGTAGCACAGTTTAGTCTACTGTTTTGATTTTCCCTTCCAAGAGGCAGCTCTTATAATTTGACTATTTTTTCCTTTTCAATATCAGTGTTACCTTTATTATGCCTGTTTTTCTTAGGTTTATTTCACTGTTTCCTTTTTAATATTCCAAAGTAAAATATATAATTTTTATTCTTTGTCAGTTATTCAAGATGTTAACTTTCTTATAAATTTGGGTTTGGCCACATCCCACAGACATGAATATATATGAATCTCATTATACTATTTCCTAGATAATATGTAACTGTATTTTAAATTTCCTCTTTGATATAGTAAAGTATCCAGAGTTGGTTTTGTAGTTTTATTTTTTTTTTGTAGTTTTATTTTTTGTTACCTGTTCATTATTTCAGTCAACCAGCAAATGTCTAGTGTCCTTCTAGTTTTACTGCACCATGGTCAAAGAATGTATTGTGTTCTACTTAACTTCCTGAAAAATACTAGAGTGTCTCTGTTTCAAAATCATCAATTTCTTCTCCACAGTCATTTCAAATATTTAAAAAGATAAATTCCACAAACAACTCTTTTAAAGTTTTTCTTCACAGCATGCAGAATGGAAGACAAACCAGTTAACACCACATATTCTCAAATTTAAAATTACACGATTGCAAGAGTCACCATTATTTCCTATGTTACTGAGGGGAAAAAACCTGCCATGCTGATGGCAGCAATGTTAGCCATTTTTTAACTGCTGATAGCAGCAGTTAATGTTCAAGGGCAATTTAAAGCCATGAAAAATCATATCAATCTTCCTCTTTCACTAAAATCACCTAAAACAATGGCCTTCGTAATCTTTTTGTTTTTCCTGAACTGATTGTCTTGTTCATATTTGTTACCTTTTGCACATCAGGGACTCCATGATTCCCAAAGGATCTGAGTAAGACAAAGTGGCCCCTTCCTCCAGGACTATTTGAATAGGGAGGCAAGGATAGTTTTCAAAACAGCACGTTTAACATTATAATTTTATATTTGAAAAGTGAAAAAATAATTGATTTTATAAAATAGATCCTGGCCTCCTTTTAATAAGCCAACAGGAAATGAAGGCATAATGAGAAGACTTATCAAAGGGTCGAACTTCTTTTTTTTTTAAGTCGAAAAAAGGCTGTAACTTCTGATAATTAACAGCTGGATATCTGTCAATTCTTTCAGCTTCTTTCAAAGTTTACCAGAATACTACTTCTTCACTACCGAAATTTTCCATATTTTAATTTTGCCCAAGCAAATATTTCAGTCGAACACAGTGCAAATTAAATATGATCGGAAGTAAAGCTTCTACAGCCTTTCATCTCCACAGAACCACTTATAGCAAGAAAACCTGCTTTTCTGAAAATAGGTTTTAAAGCCCATTGTTTTTTTTCTAGTGCAAACGGCTAAAATACCAATTGAATAATATAGGAATCCATCCTCACACTCAAAATTTAGTTACTTATGCTCTCTTGGCATGAAAAATTACTTACACTAAGATACCATGGGGTGCTGTTCGTCTTTCAACTATACACTGCACAGCCTACTCAGAGTTCAACTAGTCCCATCACTATCTACCTATCTGCTTACACAAATGTATTTAGGGAGAAATGTTTTCAATATTACCCTAGTTCTTCCACGGTACAGAGGTCAACAAAAACTTATTCATGAAAACACGTTAAAGATCTTCGTAAAGTCTCTAGAAAATACACTTTTAAAACAAAACATGAGACACAGACTAACGAAATGGACAAATGTTGAGAGTCCTTGACCTCTACCTTACAAACATTAAAAACCATATAGGCTTAGAGACAGTGGCAGAATGCGGTTCATGAGCAGAAACAAGCCTGACTCCCTCCTTTCCTTGGAGTAGTATTAATCCACTCAACACACAAGAATGGCAAAAGACTACTGATGCCAACCTACTTTACAAATATCAGGCGAGCGCGAACCACAACCGTCCTGAGCAGCCAACCTCACAGTTGGGAACTGTGTCACATTTCCCATACCTGTGCCCATCCCAGATCCCAACCTTCGCCAGCCCCGCCTCTCCCCTGCCCCCAACCTCGGCCTAGCTAAACCAAGAATGAGAAGCTAAAACTCTCGAACATTCCTTCTCCGGAGATTCAACCCCTCTTACCCACCCCCGCCAAGAAATTTTCTACCCCTCCGAAACCCGGCCAACGGGACGCGGTGAGGGGAGTCGCCAAAGAAAAAGCACATCCCGCCTCCGGCCGCCGCCGCCGCCTCCCGGGAGCCTCCGCGGCGCTCGGGACAGGGGCCGGGATCCAGGCCAAAAGGAGTCGCAGGCCCCGTACACCCAGCACCTCCAAGAGCCAGGCCCGGAAAAAACGGAAGATCACTTACTAGTGGGAGCTCTGCCAAAAGTTCCCTGCCATGGAACACAGCTTGCCCTGATAAAAAAGCACCAGCCGGCGGAACGGCCCGCGGAGCGACCATAGACCCAACCCTCCCGGTCACCACGCTCCTTGATCTGATGGGCTCAGCTCCGCTCCGCGGCGGCGACGGTGAGAGGAAGAAGATAGCACCCTATTCTCCTTGACGCCGGCCGGCAACACTCTGCTGTATAAACCAGTTCCTACGGATAAAAGTTCCGGCCCGCCCCGCGATAGCGGAGGAAGGAGGCGGGAAGGAGATACCCCTTGAGCACACTGAGAAAGGAGACGGGAACTGACTCTAATGAAATCTCGCGGCAGTTGGGAGAGTCTCGCGAGAGTTTCGTCATTTCCGGCCTAGAGCCCGCGCGGCTCGGGTATCTGTGGTCGGTCCAATTCACGGGACCGGGAGGGTTGGGTCTATGGTCGCTCCGCGGGCCGTGTGTTTGGAAAGAGAAATAAAGGTAATTTTGGCCTCAGAGGGCTTCCCTTGTGGCTCAGCTGGTAACGGATCCAGCCGCGGTGCGGGAGACCTGGGTTCGATCCCTGTGTTTGGAAGATCCCCTGGAGAAGGGAAAGGCTACCCACTCCAGTATTCTGGCCAGGAGAATTCTATGGACTGTATAGTCCGTGGGATCGCAAAGAATCGGACACGACTGAGCGACTTTCACACTTTCACTTGGCCTCAAAAACCTACCAAGCCAAATACGTTCTTAATGGAGTTCTTTTGGAATGAAGTGATTGCAAAACAATGCAAAAAGAGATCACGACAAATTACTAGAGGCTAGGAGATTCAGGTCCCTTCCTTCTGTGAACTTCTAGGCAGTTTACCAGAATGCCACATAGAAATACTTCCTGTGTGCAACCTGGTTTCTGCTTCCTACCCAGAACTCCAGCATCTAAATGTCCAGCATCTCTCAGTTTTTCAGTGGCCGTGCAAGTCAGGGGCATAACAGCTTAGGCTTCATTAGTTTCAAGGTAAATCATCTTTGAGAGACCCTATAAATGTAGGTTGAATTGAATTGGCTTGAACCAAAAGCTAGTTTAGAGTATCTCTGGTGGAATGCAGCAATTTACAAAAGCTGTTAAAATATCTAAATACCTCAGCTTATCTGGAGGCAGAAGGTGATGAGCCATGTAAGTTTGCTGGTTTTTTTTTTTTTTTTCTCCTCTAATACTTAAAAAGAAATTTCCTTTATAAGTTTAGGAATATTCTTTCTCAGTCCTTACTACACATATAATTTGAACTCACTGAAATTAAATCAGTCTAAAGATCACCTAGAGCATAACTTGTGTGTGTGTGTTGTGCTCAGTCATATCCATCTCTTCGTGACCCCATGGACTGTAACCCCCCAGGCTCCTTTGTTCATGGAATTTTCCAGGCAAGAATACTGGAGTGGGTAGCCATTTCCTTCTCCTTTTCACTTATAGGTCATTACAAAATACTGAGTATAGCTTCTTGTGCTATACAGTAGATCACTTGTTGGTTATCTATTTTATATTAATGTATAGTTGTGTATATATGTTAATACCAAATTCCTAATTTATCCCCCTCTTTGGTAACCTTATGTTTGTTTTCTATACCTGTGGGTCTATTTCTTTCTTTATCTAGTTGTTTAAATAAGAAACTTGCAATCTTAACATCTCAATCCCCACAGACATCAGTACCTAAATCTTTTCGATTCCACATCTCAAATAGTTTTCACATCACTCTCTACTTAACATCTGTCGTTTACGACCTAACTCTAGACTACCGTGATCTCTTGTCCTACATTCATCTTGTTACTACTTCTGTTCATCTCCTTACTATCTACGTCTGCTCTTGCCTCCCCACTCTAGTCTTTAAATCTGAGCCAGAAAGGTAGTTTGACTGATCAGATTGCTCCCATGCTGAAGACCTTTCAATGTACCCTCAGGATGCAATTCAAAATTCGTAACATAAGTTACTAGGCTCAGAATACCTCACTAGCATCATTCTAAGTCAGTTTTTTTGCTGAGGTTCAGTCACACTGGCCTTGATAATGAGGGACTTGAAAGGGCTTCAAAAGTATAGCTAGATTATTAGATTAATTAAAACAAATTATTAGATGAATTAAAATGAAAAAATGCAGAAACTGTTTCAGGAAAAGCATAGAGAGCATTGATTCAAAGAGTCCAGGCCTGGCTTTCTATGAGAATGAGACTCATTAGAGAGAGGTAACAAGAAAGTAGATCTTAAATATTCTCACCACATAAAAACATGAATATAACTTTGAAGTGATGTTAATTAGCTTGATTGTGATGATATTTCACAATGCATTTGTGTGTCAAATCTTCAGCTTGTATATCTTATATAAATATATGCAGGTTTTCTTTGTCAATTATACCTTACTAAAGCTGGAACATTGAACTGTGGTGTGACTGCAAGGAGATCCAACCAGTTCATCCTAAAGGAGATCAGTCCTGGGTGTTTGTTGGAAGGACTGATGCTGAAGCTGAAACTCCAATACTTTGGCCACCTCATGTGAAGGGTTGACTTATTGGAAAAGACCCTGATGCTAGGAGGGATTGGGGGCAGGAGAAGGGGCCGACAGAGGATAAGATGGCTGGATGGCATCACCGACTTGATGGACGTGAGTTTGAGTAAACTCCGGGAGTTGGTGATGGACAGGGAGGCCTGGCGTGCTGCAATTCATGAGGTCGCAAAGAGTTGGACACGACTGAGCGACTGAACTGAACTGAAAGAGTCCCAATGAAGGAAAGTTACACGGCTCAAAACTCCCCTCCGGGTCCTCCCCACTATTCTATGCAAAATGAAGAACTCTCTCACCAGAAGAAAAAAAATGGACCATAAGGTTGATTACACCCAGCTCCCAGCCAGTCCCAGCCTCTGGCCTATCTCCAGAATTCCTTGCCCCAGCCATTTAAGAGATAACTACTTCAAACAACCCTGAGGAAGAACAGGCCCCCTTAAGGCAGTAGATTTCCACATATATGCCTGTATATACTTACTCTTTTCTTGGGTTAGTGCAGTAGCTCACTAATCGGACTGCTGCCCCTTCGCGCTTCGTTAAAGGTGATCTGATCCTGTAACGTGCCGGTCTCCTTTTTCTGAACCCACCTTCTCTAACTCCTTTACCCTACACCCAGGACCAAGAAACGGAACATTCCCAAGAAGATCCTCCAGAACAAAAAAAAAAATGTGTAAATAGTAAACATCCTAAGCCTAGCCAGCGTGAACCAACCCTGTCTGAATTGTGAGTTTAACCAAAAGTTTACACCAAGTTACTGTTTTATTTTGCTTAAGAAAGAAGGTATTTAAGGAAGGGAAATTTGTGAAATATATAAATGGAGGTCAGAAAGATCAAATTTGGCAAGGTGTGTGTTTGAGTTTACTATTGCTACTGTAACAAATGACCATAAACCTGGTGATGTGAAACAGCACACATTTATTATTTTACAGTTCCGGTGGTCAGAAGTCCTAAATTCATGGGTCTTTCTGGGGCTAAAGTCACAGAGTCACCAGGACTGTGTTCATGCCTAAAAGCTCTAAAGAATTTTTTCTTGTCTTTTCCAACTTCTAGAGGTTGCCCACATCCCTTGGCTCACAGCCCCCTTTCATTTTCAAAACCAGCAGTGGCCAGCTGACTCACATAGCATCACTGTAACAGTGATTCTTCTGCCTCCCTTTTCTGCATTTAAAATACTCTGTGGTTACTACATTGGGTGCACCTGAATAAGCTGGATTCTTTATTTTAAATTCAACCGATTAGCAACCTCAACTCCATCTTCAGACTTAATTTTCCTTTGCTCTGTAACTAAAGATTTGACTGCTGGCCCACCCACTCACCTCCTATTGTGTACCTGGTTCATAACAGGAGGTTGGGGACCCTAGACCTAACTTATTCACAGCTGTTTGAGAATTAGGATGTGGACGTCTTTGGGTGGTGTGTGCTATTCTGACTTCTGTAATGCCTTCCAATTATTCAATGGCTCTGGCTCACAGAGTTAAGTATTTAGGCTCTTCAACAAGTATGGTCTTGGAATGAAGTGATGCCTCAGAGTGATATAGCTTAATAGCCCTGGCTCCTACCGATTTTTTTTTCTTTTTTTTTTTTCCATTTATTTTTATTAGTTGGAGGCTAATTACTTTACATCATTACAGTAGTTTTTGTCATACATTGAAATGAATTAGCCATGGATTTACATGTATTCCCCATCCCGGTCCCCCCTCCCAAGCTCCTACCGATTTTTGACTGTGTACTTACTAAGTAATCTTCCAGTAATAATTTGGCTTTTCACATGGATTAGCCTATAGAAACATAATGCTCTGAGTAGTGAACAAAAGCATTTGGTCAATTCGGCAATTATCATTATCCTCATAGATTAACAAATTTATACTGGCTTTTTAACATATGAATTTCTGTGTGTTTGATTAATGTATGTCCACACCTAAGAGATGGTCTAGACTTGGTAGACTGGCAGCTCAGGTTTCTGAATCTGTGAAAATAAAAGCCAGATTGTAAGACTGAAGAAATCCATCTGTCTCAGTAATCTTCCCAAATGATTGAAATCTGACTTTAATATATTTTTCAAACTCATACTGAGAATGGATCTCACAGTCTGGCTGTGGACTGAAAGGCTCTCCTA